AGCTAATATGTATATATCAGGATACTATACAGGGTGATTGATATAAGTGTGCCAGCCGTTTTATTCGAAAACTATAAGAGATATCAAAAAAAGTTAAATGGTAAGTGCCTTGGATTTTTTATTTAAAAAATTATAGTCAAGTCCAAAAAATTATTTTAGCCGCCATTTTTCCAATATGGCCGCCAACTTTGATTTTTCTAATGGAACGCCCTGTATTTTATGATGTATTCTGGTAGAAAAAGTAATTTTCAGACGATTTTATTCTTGTGATTTTTTTCATAAACCTAACCGTGTCAAAGATAATAATGGTTTAAGTTGTGAAATTTTGAATGGTTTTCAAACAAAACAGCTGGCATGCTTGCTTAGGCCTTTATCGAAACTCTTTCTCATGCAGAAATTTCAAAACTTTAACCATTATTATCTTTGAAACGGTTAGGTTTATAAAAAAAATTACAAGAATAAAATCGTCTTAAAATTACTTTTTCTACCAGAATACATCATAAAATACAGGGTGTTCCGTAAGAAAAATCAAAGTTGGCGGCCATATTGGAAAAATGGCGGCTAAAATAATTTTTTTTACTTTGACAACAATTTTTTAAATAAAAAATCCAAGGCACTTACCATTTAACTTTTTTTGATATCTCTTATAGTTTTCGAATAAAACGGCTGGCACACTTATATCAATCATCCTGTATATATGTATATGAGTAGATAGTAATGTGCCGATCCTAAACCAAAAAAGGAAGACTTCAATAATTTAATGAAAATTGTTGTTTTTCAATACTATTATGTTAAATTTTTGCCTCTTTTAGGCCAATTTATAACATTTTTATATTTTTCTAGAAAAATTATAAAATTTTGATGAAATTTTCATGAATATGTCTATATTTTCCATAAAACTTAAACTTAAACATGAAATAAAAGAAACGTAATCAAAAATGATAATCTTAAGATAAAAAGATAAGTATTGATTTAAATTGAAAATAAATATCATCAATGAAAAGCTTGTTGAAAATTAATGCTATTTAATATATTATACATTTCTGTATGATTAAAGATATTATCTTATTGAAGGAATATTAGGCTATGGCCTAATTTGTTTGGTCGATCTTTTGATGAAAATAAGTGATTGAATAAAATAATAACCAATTGAATGTTAGTAAAATGTAGTGTGGATTATGATAATTATTTTGATTTATTTAAACTAATTGAATAGTATTTTATAATTAATGCTTAAAATGTATAGTCAATGAAACTAATGAATGAAACTAGCCGATTTAACAAAAAAAAGCCAACAGCTAATTTGGGTGTGGTTAAAACATCAACAAATTTAGGTCATTAAAAGACTATATGCAACCCAGCAGACGCACAGGCAGAGTTCGTCTATGTCTGCTGATTCCACGAAACCTATTAACTATAACTATCTACACAATTATAATTATACAATGTTCGTTTTGCTAGTTTAATTTTTATAATTCCGCCTTAAGTTCTCAACTTTGTTAATTTTGTTATTTCTGTTTTCTTGATTATTTTATGTTGTAACTTTATAGTTCTAGTAAAGATTTTTGTACTTTGTAGCAAATTGAACGGAATAAATAATTTATTCATTGATACTTAATTGCCAATTACAAGTCGTATTACTGTATAACATCTTATATTATTTGTACTAATACATTTTTTAATTAATTTTAATGTTTGATTTATGTACGAATCATTTGTTATGTATAAATAACCTGATATGTGTTTTCATTGTCGCAGTTACATAATACTTTTGTATTGATTTCATATAATATAAGCATTTGTACCTTCTGTTAGCGAATTTCCCATATAGGGAATAAGCTATTACCGTAGTACTCATAACCGGCAACACCTGGACCCGGAACAGATTTTTTTTCATTTTGAGGTCCCTAGAGGCCAAAAACTCCATCCGTTTAAATTCATACATATATTCAAAAATAGTGTAATTTAAAATTCCCATGTTATTCTTATGGAGAAAATGAAAATTGTTTTAGTTTACTTGTTTATGGATATATATTGATAAAAATTGACAAATTTATCAATTTCCTCCTATTCTATTGACGTATAATAAAAAAAAACACTTATTACTTTCCCCGTAGCAGCAAACCTTAGCACTCGTTAAATCTAATGTTATCTAAATAGGGAATAAATATGTCTTATTTATGGAAATATTTTAGTAAAAATGTAATCAGACAAGTTGTAATTCGCTTAGTCTGCTGGTTTGCTGCGGCGGGGGTGTTTTTAAGATTAATATTGTATTCATTTAACCTCAGTAATTTTTTAAATAGCCAATATACGAATTCTTCAATTACACGCATATTGAATACATTTACTAAAACTCCGAATTCATAAGTTATTCAAATAGGAATTATGTAGTTGCTGTCTTCTCATGTTTCATTTATTTATATAAATTGTTGTGAACGGGATATAAAAAACTTATATCCCTTCCTTATAAACTTGTCGAAGTCTTCTGTACTCATCGTGACAACCTGGAACCTCTGTTCGAATTTGCAACAGTTGAAACCCAATCTTGAGGCACAAAAACATACTGGTAATTTGTCTTTGCTTTTTCTATTATTCTAAAGTCTTGGTCGCACTCCATTTATGAATTCCCTGCTACCAAGAATTTGTGATCTACCACCTCAAAGTTGGTACTCCTTACAATATACATCGTAAAGCGAGCTATATACTGATTTTTATTTTAACCTTCACAGTTGTTGCTAAATACTATGACTTAACTGATGCTAGTAAATCTTTAACAAATTTTAACAAACATGGTCCGATTTCTTGGAACCCATCTTGAGGCTTCGTTCTCGTGCCACATGCACATCGATGAGTGCTTTTCACCAAAGTCATGTAAGTCAACTGGCGATAATTTAGACTTTGGAAGGTCTGCCTTAATAACGCATACAGTGCCAGGTGCTACCTGAAATAACCCTTTATGCTAGGGAATTGTACGACTTTTATAATCATGGTTTGTTTTTTGGTCTCAATAACTGTGGAAAAATGGCATGATGTGCAGTAAAATTTCGAAAAAAAATGGAATTCGCCGTTGTTTTGCTGTGCGATTGATGGTAAGCATGTATCTATAAACGTCCACCTGGAAGTGCCTCTGCATTCAGTTTATAAAGGAGGAAACAGTGTTGTGTTGTTTACACTAGCAGATGCAGATTTCAAATTTCTGTACACAGACTTAGGAACTAATGGCAGAACCAATGAACAAGTGTGTTCATATAGTCACCTCCAAAATCAACCTTAGACAGTTTTATGCTGAACTTGCCAAAAGAATACTTTTTGTTGGGTGTTGACGCGTTTCCTAGATCTTACATACTGATGGACCCCTTCTCAAAAAGGTCCATTTTTACACTAGTTTGTTTCGTTGATTAATTTATTGTAAATGAACATACAAGTAAGTATATCCACCTCTACTAATTCACAAGTAGGTTTGGCAATTATATCTACATTGTCCTCAAATTGGTCTACTGAAATTTCATCCCATCCAACTGACTTCTTATTTTTAAGTGAACGTATGATATCTTTGACTTCTTTAGTTATTACATCACTAAAACAAAAAACTGGAAAGGTGTTGTTTTTAAAATTCAAATTATTTTCTCACATGCGCTAATAGTACATTACACTGTCCAGTCCATAATTGCCTGTCTAGCATTATGCTATTTGAGAGAAAATTTGAATAAATATGCATACTATTTATAATTTCTTTTACTTCAAACATCACATTATTGTAAGTAAACACATCAATACTAACACCAAACTCATCTTTAATACTACATATTTTCTCTTATCAATAAATATATTTTTATGGGCGATTGAATACTAATCAACAACCAATAAATATTGAAGTTACGACATGCATTATAAACTATAGATATTCATGACATTCATCTCTCATTCGTATCAGCCTTAAAATACCCCTTACAGAGGGTGGAATCTTTGATAGCAATGAGATATATTGTAATGCAATCTCCCACATAGCACAAGTACATCGATTTGACGTAAGATTGATGTCAAAGACGTCAACGTCAATGATATTTTGTACGTCATTTTGACTTCAATGAAGATCAATATGACGTCAGAATGACGTCAATATAAAGTAAAAAAGAAAATAAAATTTATGTAAAAAAACATTCAAAAGTTAACGTCATTTGACGTCTTTTTGTCGTAAATTAGACGTAATATTGCTCAGTTTTTTAGTCAAAATGGTGTCAAATTCACATCAAATTGACACCACAATGTTGATTTAAAAAATGTCAAATATAATAAAAATTATGTAAAATATTTTCCCTATTTTTTATAAAATTATTGGTAATTCTTCATAGAACTGTAATTGTATCCTAAATTTCAATGTCACTAGTGCCAAACATTTTTTAGTTCTGTAAAATCTTGATGACATAATTGGCAAATCTTTAGCAAAAATCTGTTGGAACCATGCTGAAGAAAACATGTAAATAAATAACTAACCTAGCCTATTTTACAAACACTGTACAAAGGTTATAAGTTTTACTACAAATTGAAAAAAAAATGGATGACCTAGGCATCAGCTGATTAATTTTCTGCCTAACAGATAAAATAACTAGGCCTACTGCACTTTATTTTGGTTACGCTTAATTTTTTTTCAACAGCAGTGTTTGACATTGGTATAAACTAACTGTGGAAAATGTATTTTTATGCTGTTACTGTCTGATCTATTTCAAATTATGATGTTTATATTCTAAGGTTATGTAAATAACAATATAAAAGTCTCTTACAAAATGGAAATGATAGGCTTTATAAATTTCATACAGAATCTTTGTTGTACTTTTTACATTTTACTGTACAAAAATATTTTCAATTTATGATATTTTAAAAAATAGAATAGGAGTTAATTATGCCGGAAAATAAAACTTGGAGTCCAAATAATTTTTTTTATACAATAAAACTAGGTACATCATTAACATCCACACTACTTATTTAACTCATATTCGCTCTCCAATTCTTCTCTATAGCATCCTCCTGTAACGAGCAATAAATAAAAAAATGGTTAGTTATGAAAATAAAAAATAGATTCTTATAGAAAGGTCATTAAATGGATGGCAGCGCACAAATGTTGTGTCAGAGGGCTGGTGCTGATTTACTAACGGTTTGAGGGGCTAACCAAATATACAAATACACATATCCGTTTTTTAAAGACCCAGGAGGACAGACACGAAAAAGAGGGTGGTGTGACGAAATAGTCAAATTTACCAAATCTTTTAAGTTTTAGGACAAGATGTGGCCGGGCTTTGCATCCAAGTGCATGGTTTCATGCTAGCTAATTTGGGTTGCATGTGATTTTTTTATATTTTATAGCAACTGTTTATAAGCAAAAAGTTCTTGCCGCTTGTTCGCCCTTTCCTATGCTTCTAAAGGCATAGGCTAACCTGATGTTAATTTCAGCTTGTCCCTTAGGTATTTTTTTACTGTTGTTCATTGACACTGTAGATTTACAATTGTTACAAGTTATATTTACTGTACAGCTCAGTCCTTTTCTGTTACTCGTTATTATTGAGAGCGAGCCCTGGCAGTCCGAGCAAACCGCGATTTTGCTCAACAAAGCTTCTAGGTTTTGATATACAGATTTTTGATCAGTGTAGTTGATAATTATTTTACGTCATTTTTACGGCAAAATGATGTAAACATTTTGATGATAATTTTTGTTCCAGTTGGAATATGAAGTTGGTTTTGATGATCATACTAACACAAATTATATATCGCCATTAAAAATAAAGGAAACAAATGTAATACAAAAATTGACCACAATTTGACGTCAATTTGACATCTTTTACTTAATTTTGACGTCAAATTGATGTTATGTGCTATTACATTTGGAATGCAGTAAATAATGACTTTATTACTGTAATGATCAAATAAAGCAGTGAAACAAATTCCCTATACAAAAAAAGGTTTGCCTCACAAAGGGGTAGTCTGCGCTTAAAGTGACAAAAAATGTGTTTTTTTTTTATGAAAATAAATATTTGTTCATGTATTGTATTAATTTCCAATTAAAATATATATAACACATGAAAATAAAAAGTTTTATTCCCCCATAATTATTTTTCAAAGTTTACCAATCTTTGAACCAAGTATTTTACTCAGTACTTTTTACAAAATTAAGCAGTATGGTTATATGTAACATTAATTTCTCTAAAAACTGTAGTTTTAAATTTAGACAAAAATATGATTTTAATTATATTTTTAGGTTAAGATTGATTTGACAATGTCACAAATCAATCACAAATGATGTTTTGTGTTTGTACAAATCTTTTTATGTGACAAGTTATCAGATACGGTACCTGATCCTTGGAAGGTATATTTTGACTTTTCAGTTACCCGGAAACATGCCCAACTTCGTTCCATTTTTCTTCCCCAATCTTTTGCAATTTCTTGACATGATTCCTCAACAAATGATTAGTACACTCGATTTTGGTTATCGTTGTCGAAGGTCCATAAGGTCGAATTTCACCTTTACTAGTCGCCTTTAGTTTTAGTTCAACTTCGTCGTGACACTGCTATCACCATCACCTGAAAATTGAAAACAAAAATGTTTATATAAATAAATACATCATCTAACGTTAATAGTTCTGATTGTGATAGTTTACATTATTCTGGGTTTGCGGGTAAATGTTATTGTTGTTACAATGTGTCAGAAAATGTTTCAAATGTGTCTGAAAATGTTTCAATCGCCCATTTAACAAAATTTGGTCTTTGCCCGAAAAAATGGTTCATATAAAAAAAACTTAACGAAATACCTCATTTTTTAATTTTACCTCATAACTTATTTATCATAGGAGATGCGACCTCGGACCTAGTAACTATTTAGTCCAGGAGCTGAAAGGATTTTAGCATGCGTGAATGCATGTCGCGAAATGATTAGTGATTAGTCTAATATAAACTATTGTGATAAAAAATATGAAAGTCGCCTATTTCTAAATGTGGGTGTACGGTGCCAAAGATTGCGGATCGTTCTATTCATTAGGCTAACACGAATGTATAAAAAAAAGTCTATAGATGAAAAAAACAGTTAACACGTCATTTTAATCACAACAATACAGTATTACCAAGAAGCTCGGATATTAGGCAAAACGATTTTTTTATTACATCACCTCATTTTTTATTACCGTCCTGTGACTTAACATTTTTAAACCCCAATCTTGTAAAAACAATGTCAATATTAGCATGTATCTCACACGGACATGTTTCTCGATTGGACACATGTGGAAACAAAATCCAAAAGCGTGAAGTTTACAAAACAATGAGTAGGACATTTATATTAAGTTTGGGTTTTCTATGATTATCTTTGCATGCAAGTTTTTCATAGAATCATTTAGATATCTTATTTGTTTTTTCATCTTTTTTCTCGTTATCGTCTCCTTCTCCCCAGCAGTCATTCTACTGTGCCCGTTGTAACCTCCCAAAGAGAGTTACATGATTTTTCCAAGGCAGTCGGTTTAGGTCGAGGGTGTTGCCTAATCGCATTTGTAGTCATGTACTCAGTTCACCTTGAAGTAACAGGGCGCCTCCTCGTTTGCCTTAGGGTAGGGGGGAGTTCCATTAACGAGGAAAGGGAATTCCTGGCGAGTTGGACGGTTGTCTGGTTTTTAAATGACCGTAAGTTGAGCCTGATCACGTAAGTCACGAATAAGACGAAAAAGGACAAGTTTAAAGTTGTGACCAAAATGAACACACCTTACAATTAAATTACTAAAATGTGCCCTAACCTCAAGATTTGGAGTTATTTGTGAGCGTAATATTCTAGAGTTCAGTTAGGCCTACCTAGTTGAGTGGATACTGATTCATTTTATCATGGGGAAATACATAACTTAACTAGCAAGGGAATCAATAATACAATACGAATACAAAGTTATAAAATAAAAATTGACTAGAGAATAATGCAAATATTGACAGTACAAAGTTTGCATTTAATGTATTTGTCTATTTAATTTGCAATCACCCTGTAAAATGTACATAACGACTTCGGGTTATGTATTAGGTTTTCAGCAAGTAATCGTTGAATTTTGGTTTTGTTTTTAGAAACATACTCTGGAAGAGAGCCAAAAACAAAGCAAGATGTGGCGAGGCAGTTGTTGAAGAATTCAACAAAAAAGCTAGAAATAGCTAAACAGTCTGCAGACGCCTTAACGTCTTTAGCTGACTCAATGGCAAAAATCGCTGACTTGCTTTGTGCAGTACTGCCAGAATCAGCAATAGGACTTTTTTGTTTTGTTCTTATTTTTTCTTACTTTTTTTATATTAAATGGAATTGTTTTTGTGATAAAACTGGGTTTTCTTTTTTTTTTAGTATTAATACAATACCACACACTCCATGACCTTAAGTTAAGTAATTCAAACCAATAGTAAAAAGTAGAGAAATGCGTTAACTGTAGTAAAAATAAATTAAGAGTTATTTCAAAGTTCTCTTAACCTTTTGACAATTCATGCATAATGCCATAGACAAAAAGAATTAAATATAGACTATCAGCCATGCAGCAGTTACCATAGGTTCTGGCGCACACCACTGGGAGCGCTGTGTAGTTACGAAGCGCGTACACCATAGCTACATGGCGCTCCCAGCGGCGTGCGCCAGGACCTATGGTAAACGCAGCACAGCTCATAGTCTATAATTAATTCTTTTTGTCTTTGATAACACTCGGTCATAGAATTTAGTTGGACCAAAAGTATAAGGGGGCATTCCCACAATAGTTATTTGTGAAACTGGTGTGCAAAGTGGCACTTTGCTGTACATGAGAGAAATGTTTCCACACAAGCCGCAAGCGAGTGTGAAAAGTTTCTCGAGAGCAGCAAAGACACTTTGCACTAACGTTACACATTATTTTTTCCCACAGTCACTAAAAAGCATATAAATAAAATAGGACGGCACTCGCTCCACTTCCCAATATTGATAATGTGATAGTATATTTTACAGCTATAAAGGTGTATAAAGAAGGTACCTAAACTGTATTTTATTCTATACACAAATATATTTTTTATATTGTGTGTATATTGCCCAACAATGTATGTATGCAGGTGTATAAGGGAGGACATTAAATTCTTTTTTTAACATTTAACAGATTGCTATTGTCAACTAATAGAAGATGACAACTAATAGAAGATGAAAATCTTAGCTGTGGCAAAGCACAGTGTTTTTTTTTTTGTTTTTGTTTTTTTTTTAAGATAATACATCCTGTTTATATGTGCTTAGATATTTTGTACTGTCTGTATTTTAGGTTAACTGTGCCAAGTTATCATCCAATTAACACTTGTCCAATTATTTTACGGTCTATGGGCTTTAAGATTAAAATTAATTTTGGGAGTCCTTTTAAGCAATTAATTTGGCTATATCTGAAAAAGTGCAAGCCTCTCAGTCAAGGTGGGTTATCATTAGCCTAATTATTGACTTATGCTAAAGCCTATGCTATTCAGTAATAAACTTTTTTTTCAAATAAATTAACAACTTTTTATTGTGATATTTTAAGAATAAAAAAATATCCAATTAATTTTGTTGAAAATTGTAAGCCTATTGGAGTTTTCTGTCTTAGAAACGAAGGCCAGCCCACTAATTGGGTAAAGTCTCACAAAAAAATAATAATATAAAATAAAGAAATTATTTACAAAAGAATAATATAAATAGAGTAGGAAGAAATAAATTGTATATGATTAAAAGTAAGTTTGAACAATTCTTTTCCTTATGGCTACAGCTCTTCCATAATTAATAATTGGTTCAACGTCATCCGGTACAATTTCATCATTGATCAAATTTGCATTGTTAATGATCAACGGGACGTTGTTGTCAATGCATAAATTGTGAAGAGCTAGACAACAATTTATTATTTTTGCAGCCACAGGGGGGTAGTAGTGTAAGGTTCGTGCTTTTAAGAGGCAACGAAAACGGTTCTTCAAAAGGCCAATGGTGCATTCAACAGAAGCTCTGGCTCTTTTCAAGCTTCTGTTAAACTGATCCTCAGGGCTCCCTTCCCTGGCATTTTCGAACGGTTTCATCTGGAATGGCTCCAAGCCGTAGCCACTATCACCTAGATCAAAATTAAAAAGGAAAGGATGAGGAAAATGAATCAGGGGAAGTATTTTAGGAGAGGGAAACCTAAATTTAAGGTTTATGACAGTGGTTAATGAGAATAGACGATTGCATCTTCAGAGTAAGGTTTCATCAGGGCTGACAGTGAACTAATTCTATAACTAGATAACATCACAGGCTCCCAGACAAGGGCCCTCATCATTCAGTCTACCACTCTAGATTGTCAGACCTTATGAGTTTGCCAGGTTATTCGCTCAAGGGATTAGGCCTGGCATGACAAGTTTAGTAGCTGTTCATTTTGAAAGCCAAACACACTTTATTTATAAAATAAAATGTCATATCTAATGGTATTAATTAATGGCCTCTGTGTTAGCATGCATTGCTAAGGAAGTTATTTAAGGCAAGTTAAAAATTTTAAATCAATATTTCTATGAGTCAAATGTAATGTAACTTTACGATTCCCTCCCCATTGAGAACGTTTGGAAATTAACTTGATACTTTACCTATTAACCACGTATTCCTTAAACCCTGATGATAAAGGCGGGTTAGGTGACGTTTGACATGGCTTTGATGCCAAATAACGGCGTCGTGGCTACTTCCTGGGAACCTTGCCCAAATGGACAAGATCTTTCTTTCAGAATCTGATATCTACAAAAGAAAAAGTTTTTGTGAATGAAAACTATAAAAGAAAACAGAAATAGCTATTTACATTACGTGTAGTAAGAGCGTTTTTACATTACGCAGGTCAATGTTATACATACAATGAGCGGTACATAATTCTCCTAAGTGATGTAAACACGCCCTTGCGTAACGTGTAACGTACAATATGCATGAGGTTACGAACAATATTTTTCATTAATCATTATCCATTTCAACTCATCTTCTAACAGTAACGTTCATTTACAAACAAAAGCTTTGTTAGGAAAATTCTTCAAAGCATAACAATAAAATTCAAGCACACAGCTGATTTCTAGCGTTAAACGTGGTTAGCTCCATAGAGATATATTTTTTAAGTTAAGCACTCAATGTTATTTAAATGGGTTACATTATATCACCGAGTGAGTTTTTCTCAACTTTACATCAATCGTGAAGTAAAGAAGTTGTATAGGCCTACATCACGCTTGGGATAGGGAAGTTTAACATGGCGGGTTGGGTAAATATACTAAATATTGACAGGACATTATTTAAGTTAGTTTAATGCATTCTAAAGCATATTGTCAAATTTTGTTAGAGCGGTAAGAGGATGCATAAATTTCAAAAAAATATCTTCCCTTCTTTAATCATTGCACTTATTAATAAATGTAGGATATTAATGAAATATTTAAAATATTTCTTTTACCAATTTCTAATCAGGAAGTAGGCCTATCATATTATATACCTAGTTGCAAGACATCATAAAATTGAAATAACATAGTTTTTTGTTAAGAGTTCCAAGTTCTACTATTTTGTTTTCAGTATTGAAAAAATTATTAGTAAGTTATTAACTTACTATCTGAGTGTTAATAGAATGGAAATTCTTTCTGTTAAGATAAATATGTTCTGGATGCTCAGGATCGTTTTTGGGCGGAGAAGTTATGGCAACATGAGTGCCATCAATAGCATCAATAGTGCCAGGAAAGCGATACTTCTTCCAAAATCTAAAGTAAGTCAATACAATATCCAATTATGATTTAGTACATTCTAAGAAAAAAATCAATCAAGATCTGTTAAAATTAAATCATGATTAATAATAGTTAAAGTAATAACCCTACAATACGATTCCTCGACACATTTTTTAAAACAGTGTACAACATTTAACTGAATTTATTATTATTGTGTGCCACTATATCTTTTAAATTTGGAATGAGAAAACAGTTTAGCCTGGCTTAAGTAGAAAATCATACCAGTACAGTATATGTGTTCAAAGAGTAATTGCCATTGTATCATTAATCACTTAGCTTATAACTGTTTTTAAAATTGACAATTTTCAAGTTAAGCTTAGTTAATGCTTGCTAAATACTGCTTGCACAAGAAATGTGAACTAGAGTGCCCACAGCAAGACAAAAAGTCCCTTTGGTCTCAACTCTTTAAAAGCAAAAATGTTATAAAATTTATTAAGTAAATAACTTGGATTATGCTCTTTAAAATAGGCTACTGGTAATATGGAAATGATTTAAAAAATGTCGCTTTTATCAGAATTACTGATATAGGCTATTATACGATCATATAATAATCAGAAAAATCATCGGAATTCATTGTAATTGTGTTCTTTTAGTGATCTGCTTTAAACAACGAACAGAAATGTCTAATTTTAGGCCTAACTTTTAATTAATAAAACATAGGGTGCATGTACTTTATGAGTGCCAACTTAATAGGAGTGTCAGTGTTAAGAGCTCTGCGCAGTTACGTTAGGTTATAATTTATTATTATCTGTTTAATATACTACAAATAATAACTTAAAATTAACTAACCTAACTCCTCACAGCACTGCACAGTGGCGGTCCTGTTATGGTGGCCTCTGTATAATCCATAAGTAACAATGAAAGAGTGCAGGCTAGCCTACATTAAGTTAAAAACAGATTATAGTACTTCACCCATGGTTAATATCAGCCATTTCCCTTTGGGAAGAGGGAAATTTAATATAGTTCTTCAGTACTGGCTCCATAGCATCGCAAACAGAGTGCAAACAATTGCTCACACTTGATTGCGACATTCCAAGGTATCTGTTTTGGCCAATACACTCCTGGTAGCTTCCTGAGGCCATGAACCGAAGAGATGTCAGAACCTAGAATTAGATAGCATTAAAAACTCGTAACAAGCTCAGAGTTTTTTTTAGCACATAGCCTTATTTTTCTTAAATAATTAAATAATTTACGTAAGATAAATCAAGGAGTTAGTCCAAATCACTGTGTATGTGGGCTTAAGTGTCTTCACTGGACCAAAGTTACAAATTTAACTTTACTACACATACAAATTTAGCCAATCAAAACATAGCTTCTTTCAAAAATGCTGAGTCAGAAAAGAATATATTAACTTGTCCACTAAGGTCAAATTTATGCACCGCAGCAGTTAAATAGGTCAACATTGAGTCGAATGGGTGCATTTATGCACGGTAACATTAAAAAAATATCTTTAGAATGACTGGGCGGTCTCTAAATACGAACAGCTATTTAAGAACCGCCGCTGCAAAAGTGCGGGACTGATCGGTCAGCCCCCAGACTTGGCTACTGTCGTCGGGCGACTACTGCCAGATCATTTAAATAAAACTAGCCTAACTTATTTCAGACACAACCATCAATTGCCATATTTTTTTAATGTAGCCTATTAAGTTAAGCAAATTAAAGTGTGGTACTGAGGTCATTGACTTGTGTTAATGATTTCCTGAAAAAGGTTATAGCTAAGTGTAGATGCCTTAAGTTGCAACCATTAAAACAATATTTTTTGACAAAGAGACTAACTTACCCTAACCAACATTTATATCTTAAGGTCTTATTTTTTAAACTAAATTCAAAACTAAACTAAGATAAATTTTATCATTATCACTGACTCTTATGTCACTTGGAATGGCACTGGAACGATGTGCTACTGGCAGTCTGGGCTCTAGCTCATAACAAAGCTCTCGAGCAAGAGGTTTTGTAAGCCTAAACAGCTTTACAAATCTTCTATCTTGCAGATCCCACGGCGACAGCCTGTTGTTGAAAACGACAGGTCCTCTGTCGTCATCTTCAAACTGAAAACAATTCATTGTTATGAATCACTCAATCACTTTCGTATAGAGCAGAGCCTACCAAACTTTTATTTAATATGTCCATAAATAAATAAGGCAAATATTTGAAGGTTAACCTAACCTAACTAACCAAACGATATATCGAACGAAACAATCGATATATCGATCAATATTTTCGTACGAATGAGTGTCCTAGGCCTAGGGCCTAAAGTAAATTGAATCAAATAAGTTACCTACTTACTTAGCCAAAGCTGGCTCTTTAGTTTGATGGTGGAGATAGGCCTATTCTATTTGGTTAAATAAGTTAAGTTAAAAAAAAAAACCGTAAGCTAAGTCTAGATTAGGCCCAGCCTATATGATGAAGATATTTACTTACCTCTGCACCCAAGTTTTCGAGAAGAAATCTCAGGCCTATGTTAGGGTGGGGGCCATCAAGAATGAACTTCAGTACTATACTATATAGCTAATTGCAACTATAAACTAAATTTCACCTAAATTTAAATATTAATTGGTTATTTAGTTAATCAACTTAATATTTACAAATTATCAGGACACTCGGCAATATGGCGGCGGCAACGACGACGAGGTCGAGTTTGACAGGGAGAAGAAGAAAAAAGTGCACTCGTTAGTCGACTCACTACCAAATTTTGTGGTGAGTGGAAATGTTTGTTTGGTCACCTGAAATCTCGTCAGTCAACGTTTCAAAAATACGAAACGAGTGAGTCGTGACTGACTTCACTCACGACTCACCACTCACCGTTTTCAAAAATAGCCCCTCCGGTCTGATCTCGTGCCCAGAGTCTCCAATGCGAGAGGGTCGGTCCTTCCAACGGGCCGGTTGGGTAGACTGCAGTGGAAAGTTGGATACACTACAGCGGTTTATTTAACATATTTATTAAACATGTTTGTTCCCTCTAAAGCCTCTTTTCCTCCACATTTTTTTAGATTTGGTGTAACTCAACTCACGTTTGCACTTTCAAAACACTTACCTTGGTTTGTAAACAACACGAGCAGAAATGTTACTCACTATGTCAGGTGACGATGTACAGACAGACAAAGGGAAGAAAAACGTCAGGTTAGCCAACAGCATCAACAGAAAATCCACGAGCTTTTAGTAAATGAGTATGCATGACAATTCGTAGTTGTTGGTTGCTAGGTGACCATGCAAACATTTTAAAAAAACGTTATTTCTATATTATCTTTATGTCGAGTATGCATGTATTATATATCACTAGCTGGCCCGACAGACGTCGTCCTGTCTTAATGTGGTTTTATGTCAAATGCTCGTTCATTTTCAAGATGAGCTCGTTTGCATGGCTCAATCACGTCCTGGTTGAAGTTCGTTCGCTACGCTTACTCGCCTCCAGGTTGAAGTTCGTTCGCTACGCTCACTCATCTTTTGGTTTTAAATTAGCTGTTGTCATAAGTTTAAAAAAATAATAGTGCTGCGCCCTGTTGGTAAACCTATTAGCTTTTTGATGCTATTGAACATCACAGAATCAAGCTCTAATTTTTTTTTTAATTCCATTTAAATATGAGTGAGAGTCCATAAGGTTAACATGGGAAATTCCAGAGCCACTGGGGCGGAGCCCTTTTGACGGATCTGCACCAAACTTCACACAAACCATCCTTGAATAATGCTTCTTGAATAATGCTTAATAATGCCTGAAAGTTTCATTACAATCTGTCGAGTGGTTTCGAGGTCCGTAAAGGACAAACAAACAAACAAACACATATACATTGGATTTTATATAGATTTAATAAAAAAATCCTAACTTATAAGAGCTTTAAAAATCAAAATTTTTCAAAATTTTAGATTTGTGGGCGTGCATCTCCCTTTTTAACATGTTCTGCTAACCCCACTACAACTGGGGACAACTGTTGCAAAGGTCTGTTTTGGGCACGGACCATCTTTTTTCAATTGCCCTAAAAAGTTTCAAAATGGGTGGCTGAGAAATTGTCTAAACTACCATAGTTGATGACATCATCTGAGATGTGCAACAGATTGAGAATATAGTAAATTAACAATTCTTTGGATTATAAGTCTGGAATATATTTAACAAAACAGTCAAGTAAGTTGTTTGCATACTGCACCATTTCAACTTTTTGGCTAAGTTCACTGCACGATAATGGCAGAGTGAAAAGTCAAGAAGTGACAGTAAAGAGACTCTGGCAACACATTAACTAAGACTATTGGGCCCAAATATAGCATAAAAGATATAAATTCGGTCACCTTCTAGTATTTAAACTCACTCAAAGGGCGAGGACGGCGAGAAACCCTTTGGGATAGTAAACTGAATTAATATTTCTTTACCTTTCGGACATTACCTCCAATTGACGTTAACTAAATTTACATTGGGCCTTTTTCCAACCAAAATTCTGATAAGCCTTTTGACCACTCCGAAACACACTAAATGCATGAAATATAATGGTACTTGACTTATCCAAGCCTATGCTCAAAACAGACAATTGACTCACTGATCTCTGATGTTCATCGTAAATTTGCTTATCAAGTAGTTCATCAGCCTTCCTATTTTGATACTGCCAGGTGGTTCTTCCTAAGTACGTCCCTTCACGTAAACACTTTTCACACCCATGATTTTATGACCCACAATGTTTTTGACCCTAATGATCTGGCTGGAGCATCAGGAATGATACAACTTATTCTAAATTTAAATTTAACATTGTTAACAATAATACCATCTCGTTCTAGCTCAAGACATTCATCAACAAATCTATTTAAAAACTCATTTGAACTAGACGATTTAGAATTACCACAAAAAAATTGTGACGACAAAAGGTTTTTTCTTGCCCAGGACTTGATCCAAAACACATAGTACTGGCCAAAAGCATTTTTGAGTGTTTTTTTTTTTTTTAAAGGATGGCCATCAATATTTACAGTTACGGTAAAAAGTTTATTAGGGGGGCAGTCTAATTTCTGAGACATTTGTATAATTGGATACGTTGATATAGGTAATCTATTGCAGCCTTGCTTTATTATATTTTGTCTAAGCACTAAATAAACTTGAGAACCCCCAGCACAGGTCTATGCTGTGTTTAATCGAGGAGTGCGTATTAATGTTCTTGCATCCAAAGGCATAGATGGATGATGGGGATGAAGAATGTGTATTATCTCTTGATGAGTAACGTTATTTCTTTTAGACCATTCAGAGATTTGGTCTGCTAGGGCATTGGTATTAAACTGAGGGGGTGAATGTGATGTGGATTCACCATCAAAAACGTCGAACAATTCAAATTTAGGAAAGGATTAGTGTCATCTAAATTGAAATTTAAAGATTCATCAGGACATTATGTATTAACGAAGTCTTCTTTATCTGCTTGTGAGTTTGGTTCTAGGGTTCTAGATTAGTTAATAGTTTTTTTTCCTTTTTCCAAAACGTTCTGTTTTAATACTTGTCTGACTTACTGTCACTTCTTGATCCATATTTTTAGACTAGAAAAAATACTAACAATATAAGATATGGTAACAATACCGGTAACTAAAAATAAATGGTACGGAGGGTTTGAGATCCATTTCAAACTAAGGTAGGCCTATCATTCAATCTTCTTTTTTCCCGCCCTCCTTCCCTATCTTTAGTGAAGCGAAACCACTGGCATGCTATAGAATACACTTCAACCCAAAACCTATAGAATAGTTTATATTAGATCTGATGAATCAATGACAGAATTGAAAAGTTGCATTTTAAAGAAGACTATGTTTAAATGACAATACGAATGTGGCCAGGTATGCCAAGACTATTGGCCTTTGTGAACAAATTATGATCATCTGGTTGCATCATCGATCTCAAGAGATCGATGGGTTTCACATCATACCATAATGTAGCATACAAGCTAAAACCCCTTTTCTCGTCAATACAGTGGCATAAATAACACTTCCGAGGTTTGGGTGGGGTTCAACTGTCACCGCTCACACAGTTTTGGGAATGGATTATGTTGTTTTCATGACCTCAGGTGACGAAGGTCATGTCAACAAGACCAAGAAGATAATTCAAGAGTTTTGCCACAATCGTGGAAAAATATGACGTTGTTACCGTGACCATGGAAGACGATGATGATAACTTTAAGACCGCGGATGATGTACAAGATTTTGCGTACGGTAAAATACCGCGAAAAACTATGAAAAATACCGACCACAAGAGAATTTCTCAATTTTGCCTTCTTTAGCCACAATTCTTTTTATTTTATTTTTGCACTAAGTAATTCAGTAGTTGGTGTTTTACTGTATTAAACTTTTAATAATTTAAGTGTAGGTAGGGCGCCGCTTAAATGGGCGCACATGAAAAGAGCCCAAAAACTCAGGCAGACGCTTGAAAAGCGCCCGAACCTCCAAGGTCCCTCCCAGGACGGTGCGAAAAGAGCTCGGGCTCTTCCTAGAACTTTCACAACGGGTCCTTAAAGGAGAAATATCAATAACACAGTTGAAATATACATGAATTTATTTACAATATTAAAATATGCACTGTTAAAATATAGATTATTAAAAGATATTTACATTACTAAAAGATATAGTCTGTTTACCTAACAACCTAACCTAACCCAACCAAACACAACACTATTTACTGAAACACTACTATATATACTAACAATTTGATAATTTATAAATAAAAAACTTTTTAAAACAAAACGTTTTTAAACGCACTAAAAAATAGAAAATAATTTATAAATATGTGGAGAGGATAAATATTTGTAAGATTTAAAACGGAAAACGTGGGTAGCATGCAATATATAATTTACAATTACTTTTACCTATTGAACTAATGTATTACTATCAATTGCATGCAACCCACGTTTTTCGTTTTAAATCTTACAAATATTTATTCTCTCCACATATTTATAAATTATTTTCTACTTTTTAGTTTTTAATGTGTGTGGATGCTAAATCTATTTCATGCATCTATAACAGATTAAGACAGAGGC